GGAAATGTGGACTGTAGTCATCTGGTTCAGGATAGAGACGGGTGGCGAGCCCGTGTGAGAACAGTAAAGAACTACCAAGTTCCATAAAGTGATAACATGTTTTTAAACAGTTGAGCAACTATTAGCAGTTCAAGGAAGACAGTGGGTCCCGTGTCGTAGCTTTACAGCACGTAAAAGAACCTCATGCCTCAAGGAGGCCTCTGAGCCAAATTATAAGGACATTTCCCGGCCAACAATAGTTTCTAACGCTTCTGGTAGATGGGGGAAGCATCTAGATACCGCTGAGCCAGTAGAGGCCAAACTCGCTGGCTGAGTCGGGACTGATGGCACGCACCAGTATCGGTAGGGTATAGAGACTGGTAGAATATCACAGGGGGATGTACAATAGACCACTGGTCGCGGTGCATGGGGAACCCCCCCAATAATAATAATAATAATAATAATAATAATAATAATAATAATAAAGTACTTACTCAATGTTACTGACACAAAATCAGCTGAGACTGATTTGGTAGGTCAGAGTTGAGTGACGTCGATTATTTCAGTGAAATTTCACTGCTAGAAGGGCAAATAAAATTTAAAAGAGTTGTATTAATTTGGAACATTATATTGGTACGACATCATGTGTATAAGCTTCGTACTGCGGACAATATGCACGAAACATCTGCAATACAGCCAGTATCACAAGGTTCCCTCGTTTAAAACATGCTCTTATTAGCACTGAACTGCAGAAAAATCCTGAACAAATCTATAACATGTGTATTTTTTAAGGCCTATAGCTCTGTAAAGCCATAAAATAACTTTAGATAATTTTATTTTCTCAGTTTCCTTAATCAGTTTTGCGAAACATTTAAGCAGATAAAATTACGTACCATGTTAGAGGATTAGTTATTTACATGTTAAGAGTTTTTTTTTATAAAAAATTTTCTATTGTAGTCTAGCAACGAAACATTTACTTGATCAGTCAAACAAGCATTCCACATATCGGCCAGTCAACTAAGCATTCACCCAGTCAGTCATTCATTGAAGCATTCACCCAATTAGTCATTCAGTCACTCGATCATTCAATCATTCAAACACACAGACAGACAATCATTCATTTAGTATGGCAGGCAAGCAGTCATAATTTTTTCTTCATCTTCTAATTCTGATTCCGCCATTTGGAGCATAGGGAATCAGTGAAAGGTTTCGTTCACTTAAAGATTCTTAATCTAAAACATTCGGTATGACTCCATGGACGGGAGATGAGCCCTCAAAATGCGATACCGAACACAAAGACAGAATAAACACAGATATCCATGCCTTGAGTGGGATCCGAACCCACGATTCCAAGTATTCGAGCGGGATAAAACAGTTCATGCCTTAGACCGCTTGGCCATTGTGATCGGAAGCGGGCAGAATTACAAAAGAAAATTCACATCAGGGTCAAGAGAATCAACGTAGACAATGTCATACCACACCTATTACTGAATTTGATATTAAAAACTAAAAAACTCCGTGGTTTCAGTCCGCAAGCGAACTATTGCGACCAAGCCACCGCCTCTTGTCGAAGTTAGTACCAACTTCAGCGGATGGAGGGTGTCGCGTGGTCAGCGCAACGAATCCCCACGGCCGTTAATTTCGGTTTTCTAGACCGGAGGCGCTATTTCCTTGAAATAGCTCCTCAGTTATCCTCACGAGGCTAAGTGGACCCCGTTGAAGACCCACTACTCCTCATTTGATATTAAACACTGTACAATTTCAATATTATGCAAATTATAACCAAAGTTAGAGTGAGAGAAGGTCGATATGTCCTGAACCTACATTAAGCATACATCGTCAAATATTAATTTAAACTATACTGCCAGAAGTTATGTTTCAGTGTAACCTGGTCCCGCCTTTCCGCTAGAGATATACTGTAAGCATTCAACATTAGTCTTCAGTGCCAAACAGTGTTAATTTACGGTTTCAGCAAAGCAGAATTTCAGTACGTGCAGAGGCTGCATCTACATCCACTCCATTGAGAATAGATCACGACATTTATGGCCCCAAGCAATTATGCAAACCTTTATCTACGGAGTAAATTCACTTAATCATCACATACATGTTTACATAACGCTTTTGCCTTCATCCCTTTGCTAGATTCCCCGCTATGAAATGCACCGAGATGTCGGCTCCAATTATTAATTCGTTCTTATCTAACGAAAGGCACTGTAACACGGCTATTTCTGCAGTGAATTTGTTAGTCTGTGAATAAGGAGTGGGGTGAACACGGTAATCTAGCTAAGAAGAATTGTGGGGGTACGGAAGCCCACCTGCTCACACGAAGGTGTTACAACAACGTTTCCTTATCAGATGGATGTATAAATATTCATTCTATGTACTGTAATCTTTGTTTGTTTCTTTATGTTGTCATCGAACTCGAAGGAAAACTGTCACAAAATCAGTGAATGGCAAGTGAGCCTTCTTACACCAGGAATGAACCGACACAAAGTGACACAAGATCTCCTTGTAACGTCTATGGTTACTGAGAAAATAATAGTTAATCAAGTGGTGTATTTTACAAGTGAGTCGCGACAGTTCAGTCGGTAAAGAGACAGGTTATACGTTGAACCAAGCGGGTTAGATTTCCGGCAGTATAAAATTATTCTTCTCCTCAGCGCTCAGACAGACAATGGACCCAATTAGCCTGCTATCCAAGGGGTACCCGAGACTCTTTCCCCGAGGGGAAAGAGGCAAGGGCGCAAAGCTTTCAGTGTCCTTCTTCCCGGTTATGTCATTCGTTCTATCTTGTTTTTAGTAAATTAAATATTATTCTAGTGCTCAGATTTCCTGCCTACAGTTCCAGAGCTGTTGGTTCGATTCCCGGCGCTACCAGTTTGCCTGAGAAGTAGTGGGTCTGGAACAGGATCCACACAGCCTGGTGAGGATAATTGAGGAGCTACTTGGAAGGAAAAAGCGACTCCGGTCTCGAAAACCGACATTAAAGGCCGTGGCGACCCGTTGCGCTGACCGCGCGAAACCTTCTGTCAGCTAAATTTCGCATTAACGTCGCCGACAAGCGAGGGTCGCTCGGCCGGTATGGTTCCCTTGCGGAAGCGCCACGGAGTTTGTGTTTTTTTTTAGTAAATTAGCTGAAAATGTTCTTGAGTAGCTGCACATCTGGCGGCTTCTCAAGAAGGGCTTAGCTCCATGAATGAGTGACTGAGCTGTGAAACTGTTAAGGACTCAGGGGCGACGAAATGGAGTCCAGATTATTTTCCTGGAAAGGGAGTTCCTGTGTGTACCGTCGTTTGGCGCATAATTGGGCCTATATGAATGCAACTGCTCGGAAGTGAATAAAGTTTTTACGGAAGAAATTTTCAGTTTCAGGATAATGCCGATGTGGCATTGCCAAGCTATTGCACTTTTCCTTCGCTTCTCTGGCGAAGTGGAGTCCTGCGGTATTCTGAACACACCCCTTCGTCTACACAGTAGTTGAATCCAATCATCATGTATAACTTTCGTGCAGCAATTCAAAGTGATCGAAGCAATATTGTATCAGCAGCTTCGGAAACCAATCAACTCTGTTGTGCGTTTTGCATTCATTCCTTTCTGCTTCCATTCCAGAGCTTAATGACTGCGATTGAAGGGAACATAAAATCTTCGAGCTGACCGGGAAATTTTGGGCACACGTTGCCATGTTACAAGCCAGATCATTGGAATATATATGTGTCTGAATAAAAAATAAATAAAACAAAACTCCGTGGCCAGTAGTCCGCAAGAAAACTTACCGACCGAGCAACCGCAGCTTGTCAGTGAAGTTAGTGTCAACTTTAGCGGACAGAAGGCGTCGTGTGGTCAGCGCGACGAATCCTCACGCTCGTTAATCTCCGTTTTTAGACCGAAGCCACTATTTCATTGAAAGAGCTCCTGAATTATCATCATGAGACTGAGTGTTCCCTGTCCCAAGCCCACCAGTACTGAGATGTAGCGTCGGAAACCGAACCCGGAACCTCCGGATCTCTAGGCAGAAACTCTGACCACTAGACCACAGAGGCAGTATATTGATGCAATACTGTACATCTGAAAATACACATTTGTTCTATCTGTCCATTGCTTGAATGAATGAATGTATAAGGGGTTGGACCTTTTGCCCCTTGCACCGCGAGCACAGCGATCTATTGTGCCTCCTCTTCTGATTATCCCCTCAAAAATCTGGCGCTTCGAATGAAGCGTAGGATTTTGTACGTGGGGACGTCGAAATAGTCACTTGGTTCCATAAAGTATTGACCCAAGTGGCGCAATCTTAAATAAGCTAAGGCCTTACATTCACACAGGATATGTGTGGCTGTTTCATTTTCTTCTTGACGCCTCTCACAAGTTGGACTGTTACTTAGTCCCAATTTGAAGAGGTTTCCTTTAATGTTACAGTGTCCTATAAGTAGTCCTACAACACATCGTAGCTGGTTCCTGTTTAACTTCAACAGTTCCTTTCCTCTTTTAGCAGAGGGTCCGCGTATGAGTCCCTTTGCTTGCCTGAGACCAGTCAAGGAATCCCTAGTATTTCTTGTGATTCGTATTTGTGCATGTCTATTGCTTACTAATGAAAAGCCAGAAGAGTTCATTGAGCCGGTAAGGAAAGCAGACAGCTGATGGAACAGTTATCGTACTGTCTATGTTAAGGTAGCTAACATTTTCAGGAAGTGGGAAACTTGTATGAGACACATGAATTCTGAGTCCTGTTTAAGTTCGCTCCACGTGCACAAAATTAATTTTCTAGCGCTTAAAAATTAATCTAAGGCCTGTAAATAGTTTCATATTACCGAGGTATTAATATTTAAATGACTCATAGATTCAGTTTTACTATGACAGTATATCCGTGGATAGCATCTTCAATTGGATTCTCGCGTGAACTGCCTTCACAAACATGTGCTATGTGCACATAAAATTCAGTTCCGAGAATATTGTAAATTAATGAGCTCCGATCCGTTGCTAGTAAAAGTACTTGCTTTCAGTTCAGTGCAGACTATGTAACGCAAATGTAGTTTGATTCAACAGCTCAATTCTCAGGTATGTGTTACTTAGTTCTACCGCCTTAGGTGCAACAGTTCACAGCTATATGTTGTGTATTTCCAAATTATTACATTTGATCAGTCGTATATAGAATAGCCTGGTTTTGCTTCTTATCACAATGAGTTTGCTAGACTAAATGTAATAGCAAAAAGTAAAAGTAAAGGTATCCCTGTAGCAGGCTGCGGAGGCCCATAGGGTTGTGAGACATCGAGGCTCCGACATTTTCTAGACAATCGGCTCACAGATGGCGGTGACTTTGCCATTCGTACCCGCCGGCCGCCCTTTACCCCCAGGAATATTCCTGGTACTCATTTCTGTTAGAGACTTAGTCGACCCTAGGGCCATAGTTGGTCTGGAAGGATTAGGTCAATTGAAAAACAAGTCAGTTGACCGGCATTCGATCCGCGACCTTGCGCCTTGTAGCATAGTGCCTCAAATACGCTACCGCGTGCACCCGTAGCTTAAATGTGCTAATGTAATCAATAGTACACAGTATCCAGAGATTTACAAATTTATATAGTACCTACAGACCCCGCCCCATTCCTCAGGGTTTTCATAAAACAAAACATACAACAACAAAACTTTTGGTTCCTTCTGTTACGTATTTTAATAAATTCCTGTTTAATGTGTTCACTAGGGAAAATTGAAATACTAATGATAAAAATAATATCTAATAGAATATGATACTGGTAAATAGATATTTGAGTTCATCTAGGATTGTTCATAAACTGTAAACATTTGAAACGTAACCTTAAAGAATTTTCTATTTACAGCACAAAACCAACCAGAATGTTAGAGCAAATATCCATGTTGCTTATAACTGGAATCATCATGGTAGCAGCCCAGTCCGTGACACAGAACACTCCACTCCCTGCTGAACTATATGACGTCACGCGGTGTGTTCAGGAAATCATGCGCAGACACTTCGCAGCACGAACACCTGTACTGGTTTCAGCACCAAACACACAGCAGCACAACTTCACGGGACGGTCACTCACTCCAAATCCTCGCTCTATGGAAGACCTTCAGCTGACAGATCTCATCCTACACAACTTAAATATAAATGCGCTTTGGTCCATTCACTTCGTAATCCCAGCTGATTCTCCACTGGATGAGACTCACTACGTTACTATGAAACTTCAGAACTATGTTATTTTCATATGGGAACAACATGAGGCTGACATAGTTGACGATATTCTCCATGAGCAAATTGAATATCTACGAGATTCAGCAACTTGGAATCCTCGAGCGAAGTTCATTGTTGTTGTAAACACCCACGTCATGGAATTTACAAGATCACTCGCTCTTAGAATATGTGAAAAACTGTGGGACATCGCCATGATTGCCAACGTTGTGGCCTTGATCCCTAGCATGGAGAAAAAAATGATCTTTAGCAATGGGAAAGATACAATGGTACATGAACAATCCGGCAGTACTAGACTTCATTTGTACACTTTCTTCCCATTCCAAAATGGGAAATGTGGAGAAGTCAAGGATGTTGTTCTAATAGATGAATGGCTAAATAAAGGTGGTGGGTCACTATTATACGGCTCAAATCTCTACCAAACTAAATATCCTGACAATTTTCTGGGATGCCCATTTAAGGTAGCCAGTATAGGTGTTGAACCATATGTGATTGCGGCAGAGGAAATCGAACAGGCCGATAGAAGCAGTGTTCCCAAAGTGAGCGGTTTATCTGTTGAGCCATTACGCTTTGTTGCTGAACAAATTAACTTGACGACAATTTTCCTTGAACCATCTACTGAACTTACATTACATTCATTCTGGGACCAAATGAACACACTGAGTGACAGGTCAGCTGATATTGCTGGAGGTTCAATCCCACATGCAACCATTCTTGCTGACATGTATGATCATACAATTCCATATCTATATGATTCAATAGCAGCAATAATGCCTTGTCCGGGGCGTATTCCTAAAGCTGATATGATAATGAACGTATATGCTACATCTGTTTGGATAGCAGTGACTCTTGTCTTCATCCTTATAGCGGTCGTGTTTTGGCGCACGGCTAACTCCCACCATGGTCAGTCTATGGAATCCTACGATTTCAGACACTTGTCCAGTTCTTTCCACTCTGCGTGGGCAATTATTTTGGGGGTGTCTGTACCAGTGATCCCGAGAACTTCCATGCTCAGAATTTTATTTCTTCTTTATGTCTGGTATTGTTTCGCTACATCAACTGTGTTTCAGGCATTCTTCACGTCCTATCTTGTCGAATCGGGTTATGAAGAAGGGTATAAAGACCTCGATGATCTCGTCAAATCCAAATTGTTTTACGGATTTAACACTGTTCTTGAGTTTGCATTCATGCAGTTTGATTTTGTCGATACGAGACTATATAACAGGCCCAGAGTTGAGTGTCCAGACGTGAGTAAGTGCGCGGAACGGGTGATATTTGTCCGCGATATGGCTACAATTTTTAGTAGAACTTCCGTTACTTACGTTGCAATTAAGAACGGTGTCGAGGAGAGAAGCAAAATGATATGCTTTCTAGAAAAACCTTCCCTTTCTGGATACGTCACTGCATATTTACCAAGGGGGAGCTTACTCCTGGACAGGATCAATTCCGTTCTCAGACGCTACTTGGAAGCCGGGCTACTGAATAGATACTGGTCCCACTTGACTTGGGGAGAAATTTTGAAAAGCAAGCACAAGTTTGGTAACATCGGTAGCGAGGACTTCGTCCCATTTTCAGTTTCTCACTTGTTCCCAGCGTTTAAGGTGCTTCTTTTTGGACACGTTTTGAGTTTTATTCTGTTTTTGGTAGAACTCTTTGTGGGCCGAGTAAGGAACCATTGAAAAGAGAACAAGATACACAGTGACACTTCTCGTGTGGTGAACAACATGGCGTCATTATCTACACTTGTAACAGAAATCCGTGTAATCTCGATACGTCACAACGTGGTCTGATGTTTGCTGTCGCGTGTGCACAATTTTGAACATCGGAATCTTCCAGTTAGGGGAGAAACAATTTGCATATTTTCTGTAGGGCAGCTGGATTTGCTGGGTTCTCGCTTCACATGTGTCTCAACACAGTCTGTAAGCACCCATTTATGTACGCAGCCCCTGGAATCTCACACCTGCAGTGCCACTTCTGACACAGTTACTAATGTACCTTCACTACATGAGACCTGCACGTGAAGTGGCCTGCGGCCAAGATCTCATAGCGTTCAGAAGAGAGAACTGCTTCAGAAGGAGTGACGCTGGAGCAACTTACTGTTTCATGCGCAGATCAGTATAAAGATAATCGTCGCGTATACTGAATGATACATACATGTTTTTTCTTTACCATTTCTAGCAAAAGGATCTCTTCAAGTATAATTTGGTAGCGGCCTTTAAAACTGTATAAAGCCCATTCATTACAGTTACTGCCAATTTTTATCGTTGCTGGATTTATTTTGATGTTAATAGTTATACGAATTCCATTGTTTATATAAATACAAATAAAAAAATTGGAGACTTCTTTTGTCTTTATCGTTTCGCTAGATTCCCCGCTATAAACTCTACCAAGGCACCAGTTCCAATTATTAGCACGTTCTTATCTACCGAAGGAACTGTAACACGGATATTTCTGCAGTGAATTTGTTAGTCTGTGAATAAGGAGGCGGGTGAAACAGTAATCTAGTTAAGAGATGCGTCGGTACGGAAGCCCACCTACCCACAAGGAGGTGTTACAACATTTTCTTATCAGTTGGATAACTACTCATTCTACTGTAATACACGTACTTGTTTGATATGTTAGTGTTGTCATCGAACACAAAATCAGCAAATGGTAAATGATCCTCCTTATATCAGAAATGAAGCGACACAGTGACACAAGATCTCCTTGTAACTGATGTGGTTATTGAGAACACAGTGGTTAATCAAGTGGTGTAGTTTACAACGGAGTCAGTTTAGTTCAGTTGGTATAAAGACGAGCTATGTGTTCGACGACCTAGGATCGATCCCCAGCAAACAAAGATTTTCTCTTCTCCTCAGTTCTTAGACTGATTCTGGGGTCCACCTACCCTAATAGCCTTGGGGTAATGGTGGATCTTTTCCCGGGGTTAAAGCGGTATGGTCGTGAAACAGACCACTCACATACATACTGCCCACGTCAAGAAAGGTGGAGCAATACCTCGACTCCACTATATGTCTTCATGTCGTAATGCTTAACTAATCAAGCACAAAGAAAATTTTCAAGTTTTTTTTTCCAAAGCATCTAGACATTTTTAGACTGTATCAGGAAATTTCAAGCACTAGATATTCAACAACTATGCTGGATTCGAGTTTCCTACAGTAGCGACTAAGCAGAGATGAGATAACGTGTAATCCGGTATAAACCCACTGACATTTGGAAGGGATATACTGTGCAGATATTTAAGATAAAAGAGTAAGGAAAGCAACCAACCAATAAGAAGGAGCCTCCTGTTGATCTACATCTGAAGTCAACAGCTCCAACCCGCCAAAATTATTTCAAACTGCTTACACTTTGCAGCTTGCTAATATATGGATATTAATTTATAAGCACGTTGAGTCGCAGTTAGAATGGAAGCCTAATTGTCTATCATATGTACAATTAATGACACACGGAGCAAATGCCACTTGCCAACAGATTTTCCGTGCCTATTTTTGAGATAAAAAACGACATTACATTTCGAGTGAAACTAATTAAACATGAATGAACGAAAGCAGAAAGAAACGGCGTCACACTGCGGAGAGAGAGCATGTTTTCTTTTATCTCTGCTATCACAACGACTTGTTAAGAATAGAATATGTTTGCCATGTTCAGCGACACACTATTCAGAGGCTTTTCAACAATAGCGTGACATACAGGCAAGTATGTGGCCATAGTGACGTGATTCATATGTATGTCTTTCACTTAGTTAGGCCTCGTTTTTAAAGCTGACAGTAGCTCAGGCTGTAGATTGCCGCATGGTAGTTTTTTTATTGTTAGTGGGGTGGGACTAAGTTCCTTGTACTGCGGCTACTTCTGGCCTATTGTACCAGCCCCAGATGATAGGTGAGCGTGACTGTGGAGCAATTGGTGGAATGAAGATTGGTAGGGGAAACCGAAGTCCTGGGACAAAACCTGCCCCAGTGTCACTATGTTCACCACAAATCCCACTTGACAAGAACCGTGATCGAACCCGGGCCGCCGCGGTGGGAAGCCAGTGACTAACCGCTTGAGCTATGGCGCGGTAGGGTTACTGAAGAACAGATAATTGGAAAGCGCATGCTATGATCTGATATACTTTCTCTTCTTTTGTCAGGAGAGATTGGGAAATTTAAAAATAACTTTCGAATCCCTGGACAATATTTCAACCCTGTACCTTCGGAATATGACGTATAACCGCTACATACTTGTCCAGGACTTCCGGTGAGCATCGTTCATGGCTTCCAAAATAATATGAAAATAGTAAGATATGACAGAGTCCTTATACCAGTTCTACACCACTTCTTGAAGAAATAAATGTTACTCTCGTTTTCCTTGGACAATCTTCAAACTTACATTATGTTCATGCTGGAAACAAATGGTGAGACAAGTGAACCGGTAAGGAAGGCATACATCCATCCTGCGAAACAGTTACCGTGCTCCCTACGAGTATATTAAGACAGCTGACACGTTGGGGATATTGCAAATTAACCCCAGACACACGAATTGTGAGTCCTGTATACCTCTGTTTAAGAGGAACAAAATTAATTTTCTAGTGCTTAAAAATTTTATCTAAAAGATGTTTAAATCTTAGACATGAAGGAAAATTTACTGAATATTAATTATGTAATTCATTTGATTGCGTTTATTGCTTGACAGTTGACTGAAGAAGTGACATTCGTGATCGAGAACGACTGTCGCTGATATATCGATGTTTACACGATAGGACAAAAAAGTTTTCCATTCATTATTTCTATTATGATATAAATTTCGCTAATATTATTATGTATAAGGGGTTAGCGTGACGAATAATTGTGGGTTGTAGACTTAATGATTGGATTTATTGTGTACTCACAAGTCGTAACTACAATTAACTATAACACTCTACATCAAATAAAATAAAAGACTTCAACGTGAGCATATTGGTCGCTACTTGACAACTCTTCAACTATTGAATCCTCAATCCTCAATCCTACATGTTTTGAGTTTTGTTCTGTCTGTGGTAGAACCCTTTGTGGGCCGAGTAAGGAACCAGTGAAAACAGAATAAGATACATAGTGACTCTTCTCTTGTGGTAAGAAACATGGGCTCATTAGCTACACTTGTAACAGAAATCCGTGTAAGCCCGATGCCCCAGCAATATCGTGTGATATTTCCTGGTATTTCCAAAAGCAGAGCTACCAGAGATGTTTCATCTGGAGACAAAGATCGCATCAAGTGGAGGAACTGTTTTGGAAGAGACTCTGGACATGTTATCTGACAGATTGCTGATGATGAGGATTTGCTGGTTTTGTGTGCAGAATTTTAAACAGAGGAATATTACAGTTATTTTCGGCAAGGCAGCTGGATTTCCTGGGTTCTTCCTTCATCTTCTCGCTTCAAACGTTTCTCAAAAGTTAATCAGAAAAACAACCGTGCTGCGCCATCCAATTTTACCATGATTCGTAAAAGGATGATAATATTCACAGCAATGGAAACAACAAAATACTGTTGCTAGATTTTTATTTTATTTTGTGGCACCCTTTCAACTGTGGTGATATGATACCGAATTACTTTAGAAGATGATGGGTCCAGAACAGAAACAAATACAATTGGCATATTTCTTTGTTAATTAATGACGCCGTTTAACCTGTGCATGATATATAGTGTTGTAATAAAAAAAAAATATCCCGCGTGAGTTGCGTAATTAACTCAATTTAATTAAATAATATTTGAGAGCCAAATAAAAGCATAACACCGCAAAGTTAATTTAAAAACAAGACAAACATTAAAGACACTGGAGTAAAAGTGAATGGCATGGAAAGTGTATTATATGGTCTCGAAAAAGAATTAAAAATTTAAAAACAAATTATGTAAATGGAAATTCAAAAATTTATCCAGCAAAGTTACAAAATCTCATCATGCCTTTCAATAATGGCAAATAGTACTTGGTACGGTGCTTGACAAGCGACGTCCGTCACCGTAATATCACCACGATCAACATGACATGCCGCATAAACCTATCATCACTGAATTATTAATATTCAAACGATAGGATACCTGACATTATTTCCTTCCTACAGCTGTACTGCAATATTAATTTCGAGAATATAAATTTAATTGGTGTCTTCCGTCACAGCATTTGGCCTTAATCAAAAACCGTCTCAGAGGGCATTTCTTTTCGCGTTCTGTTGTGTTGATGGGTACATTTTCCAGTACAATACAACAAGGAGTGAACCTGCCTCAGCCACATCGTTACAAGTATGTATATTGCAGCTCCAAATTAACTCATTAAGTAAATCCTATCATGCTAACAGAAAACTTCCCTTGGCCAAACACCAGTGCTCCTTACCAAGATAAACATGACATGAAGCGTCTGTTTTTTTTCAATTTGGTACAGGACATGGCACCTAATCTTAATTGTACCTGCAAGATCTTATTTTCTTAAGAATTTACGCCCGTTATGAAATGGAAATAAAAATTGGACATGGGAAAGAAAGTCCACATAATCTGTAATAAAGACTGGAAATAATATATTTCATATAGAATATAACTAGGATTAGTATTAGAATGGTGGAAAAAAAAAGAGAAAGAATGAAAATTCGGCATGCATGGGAGAAAAAAACATTCATACAAAGTTTTGGTAGGAAAACCTGAAAGATCATCACGAGGAAGAATTAGGCCTATATGAGAGGATAACATTAAAATAGATCTTATGGAAACAGTAGTTAAGTGTAGAGACTAATCTCATCTACATTACGATAAGAATCAGTACCAGGATTTTGTGAACAGGTGAATAGACTAATTAACTTAGGGTTCCAAATGAACTGCGGCAATTTGAATAACTGAGGAATTATTAGCTTGTCAAGAAAGTGTCAGTTCTCTGGAATTAACAGTTTAGTTTGAGGTAACTTCTTGTAAATGACCATCTACAATTATAACAAAAAAAAATAAGTTCCAGTAGCAGACGCGTTTTGGCCTCTCACCCATCTCCAATGTAACTTACGGTCGCAGATCTTAATCAAGACTAGTATGAATTGCAGTACGCTGTGTCCTTGCCAATTCGATGATAATTTCTTATTTAAGGCAAGCTTCAAAAGTGTCATTTTGATTAGTATAATGTTCACTCATGGTAATCGTTTCTTATTACATTTATTTATGTAATATTGTTCCCCATATATAATTATTGTTCCGCCTCAGGGTCGAAATATGTAGTGGAAAATAAAACACTTCGA